TGCTTCTCCCTCTGATCCTCTTCCCTCTCGTGCTGTCTCTCATTCTCTCTCTCAAATAAATAAATAAAATCTTTAAAAAAAAAAAATAAAAAATAAATAAATAAAATTATTCTTCCAAAAGAACAACCAATTTTATGAATCTTTCAGAAACTGAACAAAATGTTTCTTTTCTGCTACTTCTTTTTTCTCCATCTCCTCTTTTCCCATTCCAGGCAAAAATAGTAGTTCACTCTTTCTTACCCTACTTCTTAATCTTGTTACAAATACTTTACATGGGGAAAAATGAAATAGCCTGAAAGGATAAAAAAATACTGTGAAACGGTTAAAAAGATGAGTGTACAGTAGAAAGTAAGTTTCCCTCCTACCTGACTCCCCTGCCGACCCACCCCCACCATTTTTCCTCCACCGAGTGATAACTACTTGGAGAGACTCACTGTAAAAACCAAACAAAAGGGGTGCCTGGGTGGCACATTCCTTAAGCGTCTGCTCAGGTCATGATCCCAGGGTCCTGGGTTGGGCTCCCTGCTCGGCGGGAAGCCTGCTTCTCCCTCTCCCACTCCCCATGCTTGTGTTCCCTCTCTCGCTGTGTCTCTCTCTGTCAAATAAATAAATAGAATCTTTAAAAATAAATAAAAACCAAACAAAAGTTGGTAACTAGAAAATATAATTGTCACTGAGCTGTGAATGATAAAGCAATGCGTGAACATAAGCTGTTTTTAGAGTACAATCATAATTTTGTTTTTCCTGGTACAACATTTTAGAAACGGGCTCAGTTAAAGGTGTCAAAGCTAAAAACAGTTGAATAACTTCTGGAACACAGTTTGGTGTTGGTATGATGTGTTTTGGGGTCCTTTCTTTTTGTTTATTTGTTTATTAACCATGTTCTGCTCTCCCAAATGAGGAATATTAGCGTGTCAGCAGAACATGAGCTCTGGAATTAGACAGATCAGGGTTTGAACTCTGGAAATGCCAATTCCTAGCTTGTAATCTTGGCAGTTCTTTTGATTTCTTTGACCCTTGGGTTCCTCATCTGAGAAATGAGCATAATAATAGCTACTTCTCAGGATGATTTTAAGGGCTGATTGTAAAAAAAAAGAAAATGAGTTTTGCCCAATAAATATTAATTTCTTTTTCTGTCAATGTTGTTGTTTTTTTTTTTTAAGATTTATTTATTTGAGACAGAGAGAATGAGAGAGAGAGAGCGCACATGAGAGGGGGGAGGGTCAGAGGGAGAAGCAGGCTCCCTGCCGAGCAGAGAGCCCGATGCGGGACTCGATCCAGGGACTCCAGGATCATGACCTGAGCCAAAGGCAGTCGCCTAACCAACTGAGCCACCCAGGCGCCCTCTGTCAATGTTGTTAATGCAACTTGAAGACATTGTTAAATGGGACTGCTTTTATGGGGAAAAGATTTTAGGTAAATTTTACCACAGCATTTTCTAGCTCTATACTTGTTATTTAGGAAATCCCAGACATAAAAGGTTGTTACTATTTAAAGCAAGAGGCAGTTGTGGCCTGGAGTAAAAATTTTTTTTTTTGAAGATTTATTTATTTGACAGAGAGAGACACAGCGAGAGATGGAACATAAGCAGGGGGAGTGGGAGAGGGAGGAGCAGGCTTCCTGCCAAGCAGGGAGCCCGACACGGGGCTCAGTCCCAGGGCCCTGGGATCATTACCTGAGCTGAAGGCAGATGCTTAACGACTGAGCCACCCAGGCGCCCCCTGGAGTAAAATTTTAAGAGCAGGTAGCTAGTGGGGGAAAAATCAGTGTTTCCAACTTGGCACTATTGATATTTGGGGCCAGATAATTGGGGAAGGGCAGGCTATGCTGTGCCTTTAAGAATGTTCAGCAGCATCCTTGTCTCTTTGACTAGATACCAGTAGCATCCCATCCCCCCAGGTTGTGACAGCCAAAACTATTCCCAGACCTTGTATGTCCCCAGGGGGCAAAAATCACCCCTGGTTGAAAACCAATGTTTCATCAAAAACTAATGATGTAATGTATGGTGATTAACATAACATAATAAAATAAAATTAAAAAAAAAATTTAAGGATCTCAAAAAAAAAAAAAAAAACCAGTGTTTTACAGCATAGCCTAAAAAGAACACATGTGGGATGGCTTCACATTTATAGAAGCATAATGAAAAAGAAGAGTAAATTGATGTTATTACAGATACTAAAATAGGATACCTTTCATAGCTGACACATAAAAGATTTAAAGTCAGCAAAAGAGAAGATATTTACAAGAAAGATGAAAGAACCTTGGAAAGGCTATTTTATCCATTGCTTCAGTAATTTTACAGGAGATAGCTAAGGAGGAAAACAATGTGGTTCATAGCACTTTTTTAAAAATGCTACGTTATAAGGATATGATTTATCCTGATTTATCCACATTTATCCTAATCCTCCAACCAATCTCTAACTGTAATGCTGTGTGATACGGATTTCATTTAAAGCAGCAGTACCCCCTGACAAGAACAAGATCTTATAGAATCAAAGTATTTTAGGGGGTGCCTAGCTGGCTCAGTTGGTGGAGTATGCACCTCTTGATCTCAGGGTTGTGAGTTCAAGCCCCATGTTGGGCGTAGAGCCTACTTTAAAAATATGTAAAATAAAGGATACAGTATGATTTTTTTTAAGTATTTTAGGAAAAGGTAACAACAAAAATTTTGGTCTTTATTTCTAAAAATGCTCACTTAATTGAAATTTGAATGTGTTTTCTGTAGATTTTTGAAGACTCTTTAGTGGTCACAAACTCCCATCTTATAATTGGGGACAGTAGGGTCATGTGGCTTAGTGGATGGGCTCTGGAGTTGGGTTGCCTGCATGTGTATGTTGTCTTTTCCATTTGCTAACTTCAACCTAAGGCAAATTATTTCATCTGAGCTAAACTTTTAATTTCCTTTTTTTCAGTGGGGAAAAATTGTACCTACCTCATAAGCTCACTCAGGGGATTCAGTGAGTTAATCCATTTTCCGTATTTTGGCATGATAGTTGGCACGCTCAGCAAGTGTTTATAACCATTTTTTAAAATTTTAATCAAAAGCTTTGTTGCATTGGTAAAGCTCGTAGGTTTAAAGCTAGTTTGCCCAGCTCTAAAAATATATGTAAGTATATTTCTAATTTAGAGTTATTTTTACTATCTCTGGTTGCCTAGTCCCAGGAATTGGCTTTAACTAAAAAGGACAACATCTCAGAACAATTTGAGATTTGATAGCTATGGGCATCTGATGTCAGTAACTGGGTAATTTGAAAGAAGTAAGGCACCTGTTTTCAGAAACTTGTTTTAAGGGAAGAAACTCCCATTTGTCCATTTTTTGATACGCTTAACTCCTCTGTCTTCCATTTTGAGGTTTCATCTCCACCTGTCATATAATCCTACCAGGAAAGAGATCGAGTTGGACCCTGGAGTCTCAGTGGAGCAATAGAAGGCCCTATATGTATCTCTTCAGTCATGTACCTTATATTTTCCATTTCCTAGGAGCTGGTTTAAATTGCTGTGATTTCTGTGGAGTTGGACACTCAGATCTACCCGAGGGCTTACACTGGGGAAAGATGAGATCAAAGGGCCTAGAATTTCCCTGGAAAATTCTTCTATGTCTATTCATCACTGTTTAGACTTCACAGATCATCCATCTCTTTTGGAGTGCCAGTACGTAAATATCAAACTGAAGGAAGTTGCTTGTTTTTTCGTTCTAGGCAGAAAAATTAATGAAACAGATTGGTGTGAAAAATGTGAAGCTTTCAGAATATGAAATGAGTATTGCTGCTCATCTAGTAGACCCTCTTAACATGCATGTACGTATCTTTAATCTTATTTAAGATTTTTTTGGTTTAGCACTTAGTGTCAGGGCTCCTGAAGACGACCAGGTTTGATGATTTTCTAAGAGGAATCACAGGAGTCCGCATAGCTTTGCTCACAGATACGATTTAGTACAGAAAAGGGATACAGGGCAAAATCAGCAAGGAAAGAGGGGCCTGGGATGAAGTCTGGAGGAAATCAGCACAGGCTTCCGGAGTGTTCCCCAGTGAAGTCACACTCCTTCAACCACAAGTTGTGAGAACACATGTAAAGTGCTGTCCACCAGGGAAGCTCCTTAGTGCCCACGGTTTTAATTGGAGCTAGTCACATAGACCACTTCCTAACATCTCCCCAAATTCTAGACTTTCACAGGGAAATCGGATCTCCCCACCATAAACCATTTTGTTTACACAAACAGTTGAGGCACAGTGAGGTGTTCTTACTGGGGAGTGGTGGGAATTCTCCTGAAATCTAAGCTCCCATACTCCAGCCAGGGGCCAGCCCCGCAGGCAGGCCTTTCTAAGGACAACAGTCTGGAGCCTGCTGTTTTAACTTTTCTTGGCATACACCTGTTTAGATAAACTTGTACTTTAATTCACCTTTATGGCATATAAAAAGTCCTGCTTTAAGTTATATGGATATTTGATTTGGAGTTTAAGTGTAGATTTTCATAATAAGGTATGGTAGACAACACAAGCTTCTAAATCCCAGTTTTTCCATTCATGGCCTTGGCAAATTATTTCCTCTTTGACTGTCAGTTCCCTCCTGTATAATCCAGGGACCCTGTATACCTACTCTACCTACTTCAAAAGGATTTTTTGAACATCAGATTAGTGTAATTTATAAACTCTAAAATCCCGTGTATTTTATAACAACAAGCGTAAGTGAATTTTGTACAACAGATACAAATAAATAGAATAAATGATATTCCTATCTCTAAATCTGGAAAATGAAAGTCTGTAATGTCTTTTAGTATCTGTGTGCGCAGAGAGATACATGTCCCCAGAAGTAATCCTCCATTTGAATTCGATTTATAAATTTATAGTGAGACTTTCTTGGCCTTACCAGCATTCGCTTTTGAGTAAGGCTGTATCAATAGACTCCGTTTTTTGTTATAGCTACAGTGGAAGTAGGTGGTGATTTTTTTCAGATTTGGCTATGGCTTTTCACTTTTTTTTTTTCAAGTTGTAGGGAAAGTAAATCACTTGTAAATAATTGCTTCTGACTCACCCCATCTCCAGCCCCTTTACTCTGTCAGGTTAGAGCTAGGTTGATATTTTTTACTTAGGTCTTTTTCAGTTGGTTTATTCTCCCCTCCACCCCTCACCCCCCAGATTTTTTAAGTTGAGTCAGAAGGCTTTAAAATACACAAGCTGTGTTTATTTTGAAAGTATATATCTCCTATTTGCTACTTATAAAGATAAAAGTTTTGGCACAGTTCTACTTAAGATTAATAAAATTCAAAAGTCCAGTTTTGTGTGACTTTATTTCTAAAATCTATTTCTGTTATATTTGACAGTATCCTGTATGAATTAGGGGCATTCCTGGTATGAGTGACTGGTATGAATTAGGGGCTCTTCCCCATCAGCCAGTGCTGACTTAGCTGTTTGAATTGGTTCTCAATCTTCTTGGCAGAGTATCTCCTCCTCATAAATGGAGTGAATTCAGTTTATTAGATCCCTGTAGAGTTCTGAGTGCTGGGCCTAGTGCTTTTTTTTTTTTTTAATAGTAGATAGTTGACTATTAAGTTCCTTTTTGTAATTTCATAGTTGTTTAGTAATTTCATTATTGCTATGAAAAGTCTTTACTCACATTATATGTTAATCTTTTATTTACGGATAATTATCAGATTAAAGTTTGCCATTTTGGGGGGATTTTTTTTACTTCATTGAGTATACATAAATTGTAAAATCCATGTCGACCTTACCTTTCACCAGGTTACTTGGAGTGATATAGCAGGTTTAGATGATGTCATTACGGATCTGAAAGACACGGTCATCTTACCCATCAAAAAGAAGCATTTGTTTGAAAATTCCAGGCTTCTGCAGCCTCCAAAGGGTATGGTACAAGTTTCTATTCGCTAAAGTATTAAAAATGTAGGAAACACTGAAACTTTCTGCCACTATAGAACTGGTATTTTTGAGGGTGGATTTTCAAGAGAAAACTGAGATCAAGTGTGCTGTTTTATAAATAGCAGTTTTAAAATATTTGCTCATTCTTCGGCTTCCCAAATTTCAGTAAAATTTTTTCCCTATAATTACATGTCAAAACAATCCCTTTATTTCAAACTCATTTTTACGACTTCCAAGTAAATAAAAATTTGGGAAATTGAGGTTAAAAAATCCAAAGTCATGATATGGGTTCTTTTGTTTTCAAAGTAAGACTTCTTTTTGTTGTTTCACAATTTAGTGATTTTTTTTCCTCTTAGTAATCGTAATTATTTTGGGATTGCAGTGGTGTTTTAGAGGAAATACTGAAGTACCGATGAACTAGAAATTAAATGCTACTTATTTTTAAGGGGAACTTCTTTATCCCTATTTAGTAATCACTTTGAAAGCCCTGGAACTCAAGAATTGGAAATGCTTATTTAAAAAAAAAGGAAATGTTTATAACTCCATCCTTAAATGTAGTACTTCTATTCTTGTCCATTCAAATATTAATCATGTTTAAATATTAATCATGTTTAAGTGTTGTTCAGGGTGATTCAGATGGAGCCTAGAGGATAATTGGCAGTGAGATGAATAGAGGTGTGTTACCACAGCTTTCAGATACAGACGCTACAGCAGAGCTTGATTTACAGCTACTCTTCTTTGTATGCCCAACACTAGACAGGTTTGCTTTTCTGTTGCTAGTCAAGGCTGAAATCAAATTATTAGACACATACATTTTTTTAAAAAAATAGGATCGGTAGAAATACCAAAATAGCACTATGTATAAGTTATAGTTGCTTATAATCTTACTAATTTTGCAGTTATATCAAAAAGTGCATTAAGTTATATTTCAAAAGTAATTGCAGCCGATGTCTGTACATTTTCATGAAATAGATAATTTTCCTTCTGGGAAATAGAGAATGATGACAGTTATCACCAAAAATGACATGTTCTTTTCATTAACTAAAATAACAAAACTGTTATTTATTAGGTATTTCTTTTTATTTTCTAAAACAACAAAGCTGCCTTTTTTCCCCCTAACAAAAAGCATTTAGTTTATTATGTTTTTAAAAATTTCCCCCCAAATAAAATTCAAATGATTTATCTGAGCCCAGATTAGAAGAGTAAAGTAAAAGTTGGGTTATTCAGTTACGTTCTTTACTACCCTCTTCCAGATCATTGGTAGTCTGAACAAGAAAAAACTTATAATTTTTCATGTCTCAGTTTCACAAAGTTAGTGAATTTAGAAAAGTGAGTTGTGTTTCACATGCTATTAGAGAAAGCTCCTTTCCTCATCAGCGAGCTCTTAGCCCAGGTAATTGGGTGACTTCACCACCTGGACTTGGCCCTAATTAGCACAGTGGGTACCAAATTATGATGGGATACTTCAAAGTTATGTGTAAATCTGTTGCTTATTTGAAAGTATTATCCAAAACTAGAGGTGGTTTCTATGAGTATTTCAAATTTTTTTTTTTAGATTTTTTAGATTTTTTATTTATTTATTTGAGAGAGAGAGAATGAGAGACAGAGAGCATGAGAGGGAGGAGGGTCAGAGGGAGAAGCAG